CCAAACACCTATTATTATTTTGGTTTGCATAAATTGAAAAACCGTCATACGAACCACTGTATCAAGTAGACCTATGTGAAGTGAGATTTATTTACTCCAACAAAGCAACACAAGCCATGGAGGCACAACTGCTTGTTTTACCAAAGAAACCACCTGAATTAATCCACTCAAGAGATGGAGGCTCAGCCTGACCAGTGTTCATCATGTGCCCAGGGTCCTGCATGCTTCCTTTAGCCTTGTTCCATATTGTGAATTCTGAAGAGAAGCTGAGAAGAGCTCCAATGCAGAGTGTACAGAGGAAATGTTGTCATTCCTCTTAAAAGTGAAAGGATCATGTTGTTGCATGAAACAAGATTCAAAAGGATTTAAGGTTCAGTTCAATGAAAAGAAGCACTCTTTCAAAGTTTTTCTCAGCCCTACTGTCAGATATCACCCTTTGGGATAGTAATTCCAGGGTATGAGTGCTCAAAGGAGCTCCATTTTTTAAAAAATGGAGAAAAACAACAAGCTTGGAGGAATTCCAATGTTCCCATGGATGGGAAAGAAAAAAGAAAAAAATCAAATAATTGGACCTAATTAGGAAAAATAAAGTATCCTATTTCAATCTACATCTGCAATAACTAACACTGTAATTATTTGCTACTGTAGTTGTAGGTGTACCATGTGCAAAATATGGAATAAGTTAAGCTTCTCATCACATGCACTCATCTAAATGAACTCCTTCACTAATGCTTGTCTTATGGGAATTAGAGTCCCACCAGGGGTGGGATTCCACCAATATAACAACTGGTTCGGTGATCGCGCACTCTGCCTTTAAAAAAAGCTCTAATATTTACCTTCTTCTGCAGTCCCTGTGAATAAAACAGCTGAGGCGCAGCAAACCGCTCTGCCGCACGAATCAGCTGTGCTCTAAAAAAAGGAAATAGAGCACAGGAAAGAGCAGTACATTTGGAAGTACATTTTTCTTCCTATACACATCGTGCAATATATTTCCTTTGTCATTTTTGCACTCATCATTTTTCTATCTATGTTTTTTCCCCTCATTCATAGTCTTGTCCACCTCTTCTAGAAGACTGTTGTGACAGCCTGTAACTTTTCTTTTATTCTTTTCCAAGTAACTTCTACATGCTCTTTCCTTATGTCTGCTTCCACTTATTGCATTGTGATATTAATCTATTTTCCTTTGTTCCTTGCAGATTTACACTTTCTCTTTTTGCAGTCTTATTTTATTCTAGATTCTTTAACATCTTTTCTTCTCTTAGATGTCAGATATGTGCAAAAATTATTCTGTTAGAACCTCTCATCTTTGTATCCATTGTTTGTATCCATTAGCCTTTTATCATAAACTAAAATATACCATGATTTTCTAAAGCATTCCTTTTTCATGTGTAGGTTATCAACAGGCTTAAGGTTTAACCATGTATTCCAAGGACACTTTTTCTTAAGCCAATACACACCAAATCATCATATATTCATTATTGGGTGTCAAAACCATTCAAATTCATTCAGAATGTTGTACATTTCTCCTCCCCTTCCCCATCCGTTCATCCTTGGGTTTTTTTCCCCATTTTTCATAATAACAATTCCCTGGGATTTAATATCAAAGTGTCAACAACCTATGGGTTCTACCTTCACTCTCATCCACAATAATTATAGCCATTGATATTTTCTGACACATCTTTTAACACTTTTATTCATGGCTAAGCCTCTAACTTCACTTCTCTGCTTGCATTTATTAAGTTCTATTGCACCTCTTCTTTTTGTTTGTTTCACAGACAACATATTTTTTTTAAAATCAGTAATTTATTGCTGCCTACCATCTTCTGGGCATTGATAAAATTGAGGCTTTCAAATATATACCTTCTAATAAGACAGAAAAGGTATGTACTAGATTATCAATCTTAATGATACCCATGCCATAAATATTAGGGAATATCAGTCATTTTGGCTACAAATGCAATGAAAATCCAGCCTTACTAAATCTATCCTACACAAGCTACTATCTTTATTCTAGATACCACCTTGGAAACCAGCATATTGATGCTCACAATTCTCCAAGTAGGAGATATATGGAAGATATATGGAAGATATTGATACACATCCAGAATGTAGCACTACTCATTCCATGTAATAAATCTTTTAGAAATCTCTAAAAGCTCCCACAAGTTACTGCAAAGTTTCATTGCAAACCTGACTGCAGATACCCCTTTTGCTTTCAGAAATAAAACCAGACAATTTGATGAAAGGCAGAATTGAAAGACAGCAATTAAGATTATTTCACAGAACTGCTTGATTGAATGCAACCTATGCTTTGAATCTTGGATTCCCTAGAAAAACAATTTGCAGTTTAAAAGTCGAAGAAAAAAATCACTACAGCGGGTTCTGTTTTTAATAAAAGACAATGTTCAAAGGAAAGAAAAACAGCAGGAGCTGAAATCCTAATAGAATATACAACATTTTCTCGAGATGATGTTAAAACAAGCATATTTTCACTTATGTGGGGAATATTACTTCATTTACTGAAAACACATTCATATAATTAATTGCACTTATAACATCCTAGTTGACTGTGATGCTGACAAGATCTACGTATACAAAATGAATATGTTATGAAAACCAATACATACTGAACATTTCAATTATTTTCCTTCCGCACAATCATAATTCTCTCTCTCTCTCTCTCTCTTCCCCCCCTCTCTCTATATATGTATGTATGTATGTGTATGTATATGTATATGTGTACATATATATTTGTTTTCTGAGGTTTTCGCGGGTATTTGTATGTGGAACTTTGGTTATTTGGGCTTTCTCCCATGTAAAATTGGAAGTATCTAGGCGACGTTTCGATGAAGTCTCATTCATCATCTTCAGGCTTGTGTCTTTGGCTTTGTGCTTTTTGGAGTAATGTGAGCTTGCAGCTGCTTCTTCCTTTTAACTGCTAGTGGGGGTGTGACTTGATTGGGTGGGGGCTTGGCTGTGTTCTGATAGGCTGGGGGTGTATTCTCACTGGTTGGGGGTTTGGCTGTGTTCTGATTGGTAGGGGGGTTGGCTGTGTTCTGATTGGCTGGGGTATGTTCTGTTCAAGTGGGGGCTTGGTTGTGCTCAGGTTAGTCTTAGTTGCTGGGGGATTTGAGCTGGTGAGCTGTGATCCTGTTGTTTGGCTTTGCGTTTGTGGTCATGCCACATGGTGGGCATCAGTTCGCTTCATGTATGGGTTGGAGGGGTTTGAAGTGGGTAGTGATGCAGCTGTGGTACGGCTTCTGGTCCATGGTCGTGTGTCATCTTGTGTGGGTGTGAGTCTGCTTTCTACATGGAAGTGTGTTGGTAGAATCTTGTGTGGCCCTTGTGGGTGTGGGTCTGAGGTCATTCTTCATGTTAGGTACTCGTTTGTTAATGAGGGCAGGTTTCCAAATGGCTTGTAGGTGGGAGGTATCATCTTGTTTATTCATGCTGTGTGGGCGTTTTTCTATCTCTATGGCTTCTCTGATTATTCAGAATAATATATATATATATATATTAATAATAAGAATACTAAAATATTATTATTACAAATATTATTATTATAAAATATAATAATTAAGAATAATTATATATATATATATATTTAAGTTTTCACGGGTACTTACATGTATGGTATTCATCTTTGTTCGGGTGTTTTCCCACGTCATTATAGTTGTGCTTCTAAAGTTGTAGCAACGTTTCGGCAGAATCTCATCTGCCATCATCAAGCTTCTCTATTGTGTTCGTCTGTGAGTCAGACTTTCACAGCCGTTTCAGTTTTATGAAAGTCTGTGAAAGTCTGACTCACAGACAAACAGAATACAGAAGCCTGATGATGGCAGATGAGATTCTGCCGAAATGTTGCTACAACTTTAAAAGCACACAGCCTGATTGTTAAATTGACATTTTACTGCGAATGATGCTTTTTATACCAATTATGTAATTATGTAAATTACTTACATTTGTATTTAATGGACAACTGGAATTAATGGATATTCCTTCTTCTCAATGGTTCATTAAATCAGAATGTTACTGTTTTGCTTCTTTTTTTAAAAAAAAAAATCCAGTTGCCAGGTCCTCTCTTAGGTTACTGCAACAGCCTAGATAATGATCTCATCTTATAACTACTTGCCCAGAATTTGCAACTATCATTGGAAACTTCTACTGTCATGATTCAGCCTGGCATATTTCCAAATCTAAAATCTTCCTTTATTCTAGAATTGGCATCACTTAGCTAGTGTAGATACTTTATTGCAGAGAAGAATGAAGCCAACTACAAGAACAACAACAAAAAACCTCCTTGTTGCAACAAGAGCAATCATGGCCTATATATCTGCTGCAGGGATTAAATGTGAAGCTTTTTCCTCCTGTCTTTTCAAGTTAATGGTTCTTTGGCTGTTGTCTTCAAGGTCATTAAAAAAAACATGACATGTGTTGACATAATGATCATTACCAGCCTGAGAAGTTTTGGACCCATCTATTTCTAACATCTGTGCACCCAGGATTTCAACGTTGTTAGGAAGGCTGCAGTTATAAAATCACTTCCTAGATTGGGGTCAAAACAATACTTCCTTTATTATGCTTCGTTAGGCATCATAATTGTGGGTTTTAAAAAAGACTTTTCCTGTAATGAAAGGTTTGCTTTCTATTCTTGTAGTTTTATTTTGCTTTATTCCTTTATTTATTTTTTGTCTCACGAGTGGAATGATTTATAAATATATTGGTTAACTAAATAAAATAAATAATTATTTATAAACAGCCAGTTAACAAAATAAAATCACTCGTTATAAACACAAAGCGCAGATTAAGTTCTGAAAAAAGGAGCATCTCTTTTCTTGGGGAGAAAAAAATAGCATTTTCTTTCCATTCCCATTTCCAATATATTAAAATGTTATCATTTTAATTTTATCATATTATTGCATAAATTTATAATATTTCTAAAGTCTATCATTATAAATACTAAAAGATTTTCCTCTAAAATTATTTAAAAATTTACTTACCAGGTGTGAAATTGTACTGTGCAGAAAAGCCTACAGATTCAAGTTCACCATCAGCAAAAAATTTAATCCACAAGAATCTGCCACTGGATTTTATTTTAGGTGGATTTTGCTGTCCACAGAAACGACCAATTATTGGAGAAAATCCAAAAGGTCCATCTCGCACTTCAATATGATCAAATTTACACTCCCAAGAAGGCTCTATGGAATATTTATCATCAAAGTGCAACTCAATACATTGTCTTGGGGCAGCTGAAAAATAAAATAAAGATTTTTCAAAATTTTATGCACTAAAATATATTTGCTTCCAAATGTGCTGTTTCTAAACCTATGTACCACAGTATTTTATTGAGGTTTTGTTCAGGCAAAGTAACTTACTCTACTCAGAGCTATTATTACTAAGCATAAACAGAATGCATTTCAATAATAATATCAGTTGGCTTTCCTACTAAACTTACTTCCTTTTTTAAATTGTTGGATTCTGCATTGTAGGACAAGTAAAATTGGTAACAATATGGCCTAGTTGCTAAAAAAAATGTACATAGGCATCTAAGTCTTCCTTTGCTTCTTCTTTTCCTGCAATTATTATTTTTTCTTTGAAGAGATTTAAAGAAAGCAAAGAAAATGTATGTTTATTTGAAGATCTGTAGTGGCGCAGTGATTAGACTACAATATTACAGGCTAACTCTGTCCACTGCCAGGAATTCGATTCTGACTGGTTCAAGATCAGTAAAATGAGGATCCAGATTGTTGGGGGCAATACGCTTACTCTGTAAACAGCTCAGAGCGGGCTGTAAAGGTCCGTGAAGTGGTATATAAGTCGAAGTGATATTGCTAGTGTTATTTGTAATGGCTGGCCTAAGTAGTAACTACATTCAGTAACATCTATGTAATAAACTATGTTGTATCAGTAGAGTCCTACAGTGACAAATTTGGGAACCTTTCAGACCTATCTTTAGTCTTGCTGTACTGTGATCTTCAGTGTGATCTTGAGCCTCATCTAAATCTCATTCATTCATACATAAGATATTCCAGTTAAACAAAGACTCAAAACTATCTATTATGGTGCCATGTTTTCACTAAATATCAAATGGTTCTAAAAGGTTCATAAACTCTTCTCCTTCCATATAAATATATACACTGCTCAAAAAAATAAAGGGAACACTTAAACAACACAATGTAACTCCAAGTCAATCACACTTCTGTGAAATCAAACTGTCCACTTAGGTAGCAATACTGATTAACAATCAATTTCACATGCTGTTGTGCAAATGGAATAGACAACAGGTGGAAAGCAGAGGCAGTTAGCAAGACATCCCCAATAAAGGAGTGGTTCTGCAGGTGGTGACCACAGACCACTTCTCAGTTCCTATGCTTTCTGGCTGATGGTTTGGTCACTTTTGAATGCTGGAAGTGCTGTCACTCTAGTGGTAGCATGAGACAGACTCTACAACCCACACAAGTGGCTCAGGTAGTGCAGCTCATCCAGGATGGCACATCAATGCGAGCTGTGGCAAGAAGGTTTTCTGGGTCTGTCAGCGTAGTGTCCAGAGCATGGAGGCACTACCATGAGACAAGCCAATACATCAGGAGATGTGGAGGAGGCCGTAGGAGGGCAACAATCCAGATCAGGACTGCTACCTCTGCCTTTGTGCAAGGAGGGACAGGAGGAGCACTGCCAGAGCCCTGCAAAATGACCTCCAGTGGGCCACAAATGTGCATGTGGCTGCTCAAATGGTCAGAAACAGACTCCATGAGGGTGGTATGATGGTTCAACGTCCACAGGTGGGGGTTGTGCTTACAGCCCAATACTGTGCAGGATGTTTGGCATTTGCTAGAGAACACCAAGATTGGCAAATTCACCACTGGCACCTGTGCTCTTCACAGATGACAGCAGGTTCACACTGAGCACATGTGACAGGGTCTGGAGACACCGTGGAGAACGTTCTGCTGCCTGCAACATCCTCCAGCATGACCAGTTGGGCAGTGGGTAATTAAAAGTGTGGGGTAACATTTCTTTAGGGGGCCGCACAGCCCTCCATGTGCTCGCCAGAGGTAGCCTGACTGTCATTAGGTACCGAGATGAGATCCTCAGACCCCTTGTGAAACCATATGGTGGTGCAGTTGGCCCTGGGTACCTCCTAATGCAAGACAGTGCTAGATCTCATGTGGCTGGAGTGTGTCAGCAGTTCCTGCAAGACAAAGGCACTGATGCTATGGACTGGCCTGCCTGTTCCCCAGACCTGAATCCAATTGAGCACATCTGGGACATCATGTCTCACTCCATCCACCAATGCCATGTTGCACCACAGACTGTCCAGGAGTTGGGAGATGCTTTAGTCCAGGTGTGGGAGGAGATCCCTCAGGAGACCACCCGCCACCTCATCAGGAGCATGCCCAGGCGTTGTAGGGAGGTCATACAGGCATACAGGGTTGCTAAATTTGATTTCCATTGATAATTTTTGTGTGATTTTTTTGTCAGCATGTTCAACTATGTAATGAACAAAGTATTTAATAAGAATATTTCATTCATTCAGATCTAGGATGTCTTATTTTTGTGTTCCCTTTATTTTTTTGAGCAGTGTATTTCCACCATAGTGCAACACTGTTTTGTCAAACTCTGCTGAAATTTCCCAACTTACAGAATTTTCAGCATATTTTCTGATCCATTAAACAGCATAGGAATTGAAATCCTATTCTACGATGGTAAAGCAGAGGTAATGTTGGAAAAAAAAACCTCAAATACTGGCTTTTTAGCTTTTTTTAAAAAAAATGTAGCCCAAGTATAGCTGTCTAATGAGCTTTCTTTCACAAATTTGCATGCTTTCATGTTAACCAAATGGAAACATTAAAAGTGATTAAAGAGATGTTAACTTGGTAACATTGTGCACTATTTCTGCTGAAGACTTATAGAGAATTCTTTCCTTTATCTAAAGCTCAATATGAGAAGCAACATCTATTTTTGAACTGTCTGCATCCTATTCCCACATACAGGTTACACCTGTCACTTGTCAAATGCAGGAGCCAAAACCAGATTACATTCTTTATGATCTGGCTTTTTCAATCTTTATGGTAATGAAAAACAAAGCAAATGCACTGACATTTTGAGTCACTATGAATCATGCAAATGTGCTGCATTAACAATGGAAGAATTTTCATACAATGGAAGACATCCATATATGGAAATGCCATTTTGTTCTCTTCATTGTCCTGCTTTCCTCTGTGACCCATTTGTTCTTGAGAATAAGGAAACCCTCTAGAACAGGGGTCTCCAACCTTAGCAACTTTAAGACTTGTGGACTTCAACTCCCAGAATTCCTCAGCCAGCAAAGATGAGTTGAAGTCCACAAGTCTTAAAATTGCCAAGGTTGGAGACCCCCGCTCTAGAACAGCAAGGTACAATAAGTGTCATTGGGAATCACAGCAGGATGCAGAAGCTTCATACTAGTTTCATGTCAGCTTAAGTATTCTGGAATAATTTAGGTATTGTTAAGGAAGAACTTCAGCCAATGGAAACAAGGTTTGTGTTTTATACTTCAAGTTAAAAATGCATTTTAATTTCCAGGATTATATCTCTGACAGATAAACCAAAGCAGACATACTGCACATGTTAGTGTTCATTGAATAGGCATGCACAGAGCTGCATTCTAGAGATGTTAACTATCAAAGTATTTCAACTTTCAGGTGTAGAAAATGTGTTCAATTAAAAACAGGACTTCTGGGTAAAAAAACAGACTAAATTATTGTGAAATACTAAGAATCTTCCATGCTCTTGGTCAAGGTATAGGTTCACACCAAATTAAAAGCAAGAAATAGATAATAGTAGATTTATTCTAAAAAGCTTTTTCTTTATCACTCAAATCAAGAGTTTTTGAAAAAATAAACCACAAAAAGGATTTCTATTTTAATGATGATGATTCTTCTTTTTATGCAAAATAATACTAGGCTGAAAATAATTATGTGATGATTAATACAAATCTTCAGTCATTAGTTGATTGCAGCAAAGTTGGAGTTCAATGCAGTTTAGAGATTATGCTGATTTTGCAGTTTAGGTATAGTAAACTATCCCAAGAAATCTTGCTAGGTTTTACTCCCTGACCTTTCCTAACCATCATCTCTAGTTCTCCAAGAGCTATTTTACCACCCTGAAGGAGAATCACTGCAGATATTTGCACACATCTGTAACATGGGCCAGTACATATACACACCTACAAACGTTTATCTATTCATATTTATTTATTCATTCATTCCACCGGCCCATATTGCAAGTATAATCTCAGAAAAAAGTATGTGATCGTTTCTTCTTTCTTTATCTCTCTAGCAATAGTAAAAGCAAATAGGCAAGAAAATGTTGCAAACTACACTGGTTGTGTGCTACAGTTGTTCTGCAATGAGCTTTTACTACTTGAACTCTTAGCAATCTTTTTAATTTAGGTTCTAATTACCTTTCTTCAAAGAGTCCTAATAACATGGAAAAGATTGCTTAATGCCTGCATGTCTTGTCATCTTTTTCATCTAATTATCTTATAGAAGTGCTGCCTTGAGGTTTTACATCTGCTTAAAAAGACTTGGGGTTCTAACAAGAAGCAGAGGAATAGTTGCAATGAAAAAGGCCCATACAATTAAGGCTTTAATTTTTACCAGTCTGTAATTTCATGTAGCTGATAGCTGAAGCTAAGTTAAAAAAAAAAATCTATCTCATTTTAACAGAATGTCTGGAAATGAAAGATTGATCTAAACATCTTTCTTACATAACTGGGAGGCAGAATCACACAAATGGATTGGAATGTATAATGTTATTATAACAATACTGCTATGTATAGATATGATTGAGAACTAAACAATAAATCATCACCAATGTTTCAGCAAGGACATTTTAAATTATTTTTTATGCATTACTTTTAAAATTCTACATTTATGACTTTGTTAGTAACTCAAGCTGGAAAACATACTTAATACTCCTTCCTTATCCTATTTTCCCCACAACTCAGGTGTGAGTAACTAGCCCAGTCACCCAGCCAGCTTTCTGGCTAAGGTAGAACTTGAACTCACAGCCTCAGAGCAGACAATTAGTATATTTGCTACAAAGGACTAAAGTTCTTTGGCTGAAATTGTTCAAGCCCAACTACAGAAATAAAGAAGAGAATCAATACTATAAAAAGGTGGTTCCTAACCCTTTGTAAAAAATGTAATTTATGAATTACAACTATTGTGAAGAGGATTTGTCCCATATACTTTGGAACAACTTCATGTCTTTTTCAAATAGTCAAGATATCTACTACCTAAAGAAATTCAGAACTTCTGCTAAATAAAAATAAAAATAAGTACATCTTCAAAGTTACTATACGGATTATGTAACATAATACTCTACAGGTATAGACCTAATCTTACACCCATTATTCGAAGTTACAAGTTAACAGCCGTAGTGGCACAGTGGTTAGAATACAGTATTGCAAGCTAACGCACTGCTGACTGCCAAAAGTTCCAGTCTCACCAGGTTCAAGGTTGATTTAGCCTTCCATCTTTCCGAAATGAGTAAAATGAAGACCCAGATTGTTGGGGGCAATAGGCTGACTCTGTAAATCACTTAAAAGAGGCTGTAACACACTGTGAAATGCTACATAAGTCTAATTGCTATTACTATGCTACAATGCCACACTGAAAAATGACTTATGGCTGGTTTTCACACTTACTACTGTTGCAGTATCCCTACAATCACATGTTCAAAATTTGGGTGCTTGGTAACTAGCATGTATTTATGACAGTTGCAATGTCCCGAGGTCATGTGATCACATTTATAATCTTCTCAGTTGGCTTCTGACAAGCAAAGTCAATGGGGAACACCAGATTTACTTAACAACCACACTTAGCAACTGCAGTGACTCACTGAACCGTGGCAAAAAAAGACATAAAATGGGGTATGACTCACTTAACAACTGTCTTGTTAGCAATAAAATTTTGGGCTCAGGGACTACCTGTAATAATTTTCAAATATACCAGTATTATTATTTTTAAATGTAATTGAACAACAGGAGCCAAAATAATATTTGTTTCAAATAAGGTTTATTTCTCCCTTTATACGTGAGAGGAGTGAAGGAGTATTATCATTTAAGTTGATAATTTTATATATCTGCATTTAGATTAACAAATTTCCATCATAAAGTAAAAGAATAAAAACATGATTTTCTGCTAATTATATATAGCTTCCAATCTACTAGGAGCCTCTATATTGTAATGTAATTGGTATAAGGAATTTAAAGCAGTCCATGAAAGGAAAATTAATGCTACATATCACATTTTAAAAAATACTTTAAATGTTTTTAGCAACCCTGAAACTATGTAATGTGAATATCATACAAATATATTTCTTACAAAGAATGATTTGGCTGCAACTTCCTATAGATACACTTTGTGACTGACCTGGATTTGCTGCCAACAATTCTGAAATATTGCCAAAAGTCTAACCATATTATGAAACATCCCATTTCTTATAACTCAAAAACAACCACAAAAAATAAGAGTGATGTGTAACAGCATTAATCTTATTGTCAAATTACTGAGTCTAAAAATGGAAGAGAATGCTTTCTATTTAATTATCAGCTTGCAAGCTTCTGTGGAGTTTTTCAGAAATGTATGCATTTTCTATGAATACAAAATTTTCATTTTATGTCCCTCTCCAAAAATGAACATTTATACATTCTTACTAGATAGATTAAGCTCTTGCTTTTGAAATGGTTAAGTTTAATAATCATTGCCAAAGGTAGAACAATGAAAAAAAAGAGAGAGAGAGAGAGAGAGAAAGGAATGTCTTAGATTACCTTCTATAATATAGACACATTCTCTGTCAGGAGGATATTTGTTGGGATAATTCGGGGAAGTGAAAATACCTCCTTCTGCGTATTTTGTCCACACTCCACACTGAACTGTCTTTTGTCCTTCTGAACTGCTTTGCTTTTCTGGAAAAGGGGAAAAAGGAAGATGAGATCATGTTTTGGTTTAAATACATAATGTGCAATCATTTGCTTTCACCTGTAGCCTGCTATAATTTCCTAATATAATTTAATGATAGGACAGTCAAAATTATACTGACTACCAGAAAGGGCACTTCAAAGGAAAATGGGGTACTTGGTGCTCTTTGAGCTTGGTTGTTTTCTTAAAGATGTTTTATTATGAAACTAGGTAACATCATCAGTACTAGCACAGTGCCTATACCACTGATGATGTTAACCAGTTTGGTAATGAAATGTCTCAAGAAAGCCACCAAGCTCAGAGAGCACCAAGGACTCCACAGTTTAACAAATATTTTCTTCTGTCAGCTAAATACAAGATATCAAACAGAATTTTAAAACAATAATAACAATGGCAGAATCTACAAGAACAGAACACAGCTATATTGTTATAGTCTCATTTTTCTGCCTGAAAATAACATAGTCTGCATGTATAACAGGTGCAAAGTTATGGTATTTCTAGAAGAAATAATTACTGATTATGGAGATTCTCACATAAGATAAAATATCAAAATTTCATCATACTCCAGAAACTCCATTGCATTATATGTTAAAGGAGGAATTGCACTGTAAATAAAAAAAAAATCTCTACCTATATAGAAACACCACCCCCACCCCCCCGCAATGGCATGGCAACACAACTGAAAGGATCTGATCTGATTACCAACCATCCAATCAGGAAGAGCTATGGATGACATTTTCCAAAATCAAATTAGAGAATGTTGTAATGATAATGAGAAGATTTAATCACAATGTTATCTGGTAAGATTCAATTGCTTCATATGGATTTGCAGGAAATTCCTGTTTGGTTTTGGTTACAAGATTTTATAAAAAGAAGAAAACAATTGGATTTCTTTGATTTGATGTAATTTGATTTAAGCAATAGGAAAAAGTTAGTAATATGAAAACAGTAATAAGAAATGATTTATTGGAGGAGGCAACCATATAATGGTAGAGTATTTGACTTAAGAAATATAAAGACAAGTAAAAAAAATATTCCTTGGGCTGCAAGTAAAGGTGATTTGAATAAACTCAAAACAATGATAAGACTGTTCATGCATGAAAAAATAATAGAATAAAAGTTTGATATTAATGGAGGTTTCTGAAAAAGGAAATATTAAATATGCAATCATAAAAAATTTCCAATTAGAGAAGAAAAGGGGAAATAAAGGAAGTCCATGCAGCTGCACAAAAAGCTCATAAGCAATCAAAAAAATGAGAAAGGACACATATAGAAGGGACAGGAAAGACTAATTATGAAAGAAGGGCAGATACAAGAAACCCAGAATTGCAAAGATTAAAAGTGATGGCCAGAAAAAGTTGTCTTTACATACGTGCAATTAAAAAAGGAGCAGAAAGCTGATTGTGTAAGAATTGACAAATTGTTCAGAGGTAACATAATTTTTTTTTTCTTCAGAAAAGGATCTGTTTCTATTAAGCAAGAATAATGAGGTGATTGCAGGGGCAGGCCAAAAACTTCAAAACGACAGAAAAAATCTTAGGGAGTATCTAAGAACTTTTCAGTAAAGTACATTTCTTTTGTTCCAAATGAATTACATCCTAGGTGCTGAAGGAATCTACTCATAGATTTTCAAGACTGCATTTTGTATGTAGGAAAACCTGCAAAACATGAAGTGTCAGAAGCCAAAAAAGGAAAAAGAAACTATCCCCGTCTTCAAAAAGAGTGAAACAGAAGATCCGGGATATTGGTAGATCTGTAAATCTCATGCCAGTGGGTTGGAAAACTGCAGCACATAGAAAAAATTCAATTCTTTGAATCCTACAGGAAATGTGGACTGTCAAAAATAACCCCTACCAGCTTAATTACAGTAAATCATGGGAAAGCTGAAGTCATAATATATCTTGAATTCAGTAAAACACTTTATAAAATACCTAGCAGATTAATAAACCAGCTAACTCTGGCTTATTAGGAATTAGTACCAGGGGTGGAATTCAAAAATTCCAACAACCAGTTCCCTGCCCAGTTGCTGGGTAAGCATTGCCATGGTGGGCATGGCCTATCAGAACTTCTGGGAGGACCATTTTTCACCTTCCCCAGGGTTCGAAGGTTTTCCTCGGGCCTCTGGAAGGGCAAAAACAGCCTCCCCCGCGCTCTGGAGGCAGTCTGGAAGCCAGAAACAGGCTCATCTCCGGACTTTCAGAACTTCCGGGAGGGCTGTTTCTCATCCTCCCAGAGCCTCCACGTGGACTTAGCTACATCCAAAACGGGCTGCATGGAGACTCCTGGGAGGGGAGGGGAGGGGCAGGATAGGCAGGGCCACTGGTTGGTTCAACTATCGATTCAGCAAACCAGATGTAAACTTAACATCTGGTTCGCTCAAACTGGCTTGAACTGGCTGAATCCCTCCCCTGAGTATTACACATAGGCAAAAAAAGTACTCAAAATATGGTCAGGCAACAAGTATTGAAGGTAATTTATCTCTCCTAGTTTCTTGATGTAATCCATATCTGTAGACAGGAAGGAGGATGAATTTACATACTTTCAAGCTTGGTACAAGTGATCCTTGAGTTACGACCACTCATTCTGACATGACCTGCCACTTTCCCACAAGCAAAGCTAATACAGAAGCTGGCAGGAAATCAGAAATTTCATTCACATGAAGTCCTCAATGAGTATAAGTCCTTGGTTAATGATGACAACAGAATGCTTGGACTTTTGTTGCTAGGTAGTGAAATCATGTGATTCACACTTTACTAATGGTTCAATTAGCAACAGCAGTCCTAGTTCTAATTGCTGTCGCATTCTGAGGACAACCTATAACTATTTACTTATTAAAAAGCTTTTTTTTTTCCTTGTGCTGAGGCAGAAATTTGACTAGCTGTATTTCATAGATCTATGAGTTATAACGGATTAGAATTATATTGGATATTTAGTATTCCAAATGTACTAAAATAACATCAAACATGTAAATGATTTTTTTCTATTACTTGTTAAGAAAGTTTCATATCTATGTTAGGTTTTTAATTTTTAATTCTGCCAGAATCATTTTTCAGCAATTCTATCTCTTTAGGAATCCATCTTTTAGATCAGCTGATATGCAATACTGATTGTATAGTAATTAATAGTTAAAATTGGCTGAGTTCATGTATCACATTAATCCAAGACATGGTAGGTTGTTTTCATTGTGATTTGTAAATTCAGACTTTGCAAAGTAGGCTTTATAGTTGAACACATGTTCGAAACTATTCAATTGTTTCCTCCAATAATTTGGTAGAAAAAGATTTGGTTCACTGAAATTTGTGAATCAGATCAGAAAATTCTTGTTATTATTACTTTATATTCCAGTCAACTACTAATAGCATTTTTTTTAAAAAAAAAAGCTATCTGTGAGTTAGGAATTCCATTTGTATTCTTAGTCAGAAAGGAACCATTGGAGATGAAATGCTTGTTTTTCATTTGAAAGTAGCAGCAGCACCTATTCATTCATATTTCCATGTCAAGAAGCATACATGTTTGCAATGTCACCAATCCATCTTTTTACAGAAATGTCTGCAAGCAAATAATCAAGCTCAGACAGCACCAAGGACTTCAACGGTAGTTCAACCGTAAGCTACAAATATTCTCTTCTATTTGTACTAGATCACTTTTTCTGTCTTCTGAGCTTGAAATTCATTGATTCCATAAAGGTAACCATCCGTTTCTAATTTTACCACCCACCTGTAATATAATTGTTGGCCAGGATGTGATTGAAATGTTAACTCTTATTTTAGGATCCAATTTTTAGGACCTTCTTTTACTTGTTTTGGCCTCCTGATTCAAACAGAAACATGCTATACCCTGCAGCTGCATTGGACTTTAGAAAATTTATTCATTAATTTTTTGTTAACATGTTTCAGAGCTGATTTACATTTGGAAATAAGACACATGTTTTCAGCATTGAATGTCATAGCCTTCTTTGACTATTTTAAAGCTGTTCACTAAGCACTACAATCCCCCCTTACTAAATTGTTTGAGAAAAACATAAATCATTTTAAGTTTTAAACATTTTTAAACAAAACTTGCTCATATGAATATTTTTTTTCTAAAAACATACCTGCTCCTTTTTTTGTTGCCCCGGCCCAGTGTAGGATGATAAAACTTGCTACAACTGGAAAATTAAAAAACATATTAGTTGAATGAGAAATTAGTTAGGACAGCTCTATTCTTAACCTTAATCCAAAGTAGGAAATGCTAAAGAAAGAACAAACAGGACAGGTTGTGTGGCTGCACTTATTTTTTTTTATAAAAACATAGTAATCCTAAACAGAATGGCTACATATTCATAGTAAACAGGAATAAATGGACTTCTTTTAAGCATGAAACATTTTGATTCATGACTGCTCAGAATTTAGTTAGAGATACATTGAGGTGAGACAGGAGTGGGATTCAATTGTTTGTACCACTGGTTCTGTGGGCGTGGCTTGGTGGGCATGACTTGGTGGGCGTGACAGGGGAAGGATACTGCAAAATCTCCATTCCCACCTCACTCCAGGGGAAGGGTAATGTAAAATCTCCATCCCCCCTCCCACTACTCAAAATTTCCATTACCAGTTCTCCAGAACTGGTCAGAACCTGCTGAATACCACCTCTGGGTGAGACCATTTAAATACTGTATATAGCCAAAGCTACAATCCTATGCTATTTTCATGAGATAAATCTCAGGAAAATCAATGGAACTTATTTCTGCATAAATCTACACTACAGATTTGGCGGGGTGGGGGGAAACCTGGGTGATACTTTATGAACTTTTGGTATTAACTATGTCAGTTATGTGCACACCATATAGTTATAGTAGTTATAGTTATGGTTATAGTTAGTGATAGATGACATTTAACTGGCTGTGGGAATACTGAATAATAGTATATTGATAGATTTAGCCAGGCAACCTGTCCTCCCTCAGATGTTTCTGATATATCAGTCATCTGATACCATTGACAAAGTTGACTAGACTGTTGAAAGCATAGGTACCTGCATCAACCCAAGACTGTGTCAAAGTGACAACACACAAATATAATGATATAATGAGACAAACTTCATTTTTACAAGTTTGCATTCCAATATTTGACACAAGTAGACTAGTTACATTACTGCCATCATGGTACCATCAACTGTCATGGCCAGCTCAACACATTTCGGATAATCTCACTCAAATCTGGTCAAGATTAGACAATGGATAGCAAAGTTCTAAAATGGCAGAGATAATGTTTTAGAATATTGTTTGGGAGATTTAGGAGGCTATGTATCTAAAAGCAGTAGATAGCGCTTCCTTTGAGACCATATCCACAATCTGTAGACTTGATCCCTATTTCTCCAGTCTGGCAAAATCTTCCATGGAGGAGATAGGGATCTGGCTATAGGGATGGGAGATAACAGCTGCTTTTTAAAAAGCAATGGTTTGCCTTCTGCTCTGAACTCAGTAAATCAGGACCACTAAGACCTCTTCTCCAATCTCCCTTTTGGAAGATTGTAAGAAGTTGATGGAGCATCAGTTACAAAGAACACTGGAAGAAATTGATAATCTGAACCCCATGAAATAAGAAAGCAAACAGTTATGGGACATGACTCACTATGGCAAATCTTGGATGATGTTCCCATGTAATTTGTCCTGCAGAAATTCTGAGTGGCTATTCATGATAGCCTTTTAGGCTATCAGCAGTAGTTACCAGCATGAAGACACCATTTTACTTAAGAATAGTTCCAATCTAGTTGGGAGCTATGAGAAAGAGGAGATTGTTCCATGAGACATTTCAGTATAGGGTTAATCCTCTCCTCCATTGTATTGAATATTTGCTTTATATTAGACTGTCCATGAAGGCTATCTAGAAGATTCAGCTAGTACAGAATGCTGCTTTCCAATTGGTACAATTCACTGTTAGCTCTATGCAAATAACTATGACTGGGAGTTACAATCTACTAATATCTGGAGTTCTAACACTGAGCTTTCCAAACTAGCATGTTATTAAAATCTTAACAGAGATTTTAGCAAATCATATTTTCCAGTGTTATCTGTCTTTAATATTGTTTTTAAAAAACATATTTTAGCTAGTTTGACCACTGGTTTATTTATAATAAGTGTTTACAAGTGAAGTTTCCCTTTGAATGTTTGCACAGCATTTTCTGTTCCCAAAGGATATCTCTAAATTCTGATAAAAACTATTTTGGCAAATTAACTGTTTTGTATATTAACTATCAATTCAGAAATTGTTTAATTTTCCACTGAAATAAATCAACTGTACTAGTAACAATAATTTCACATATCTGGCCCTTTTAATTATTTTACAATGGCTATTAAGCATCTGTAGTATCTTCATTTTCTTCTGCTCCGCAGTCCGATTAATGCATAAGGATAAATTGTTCTGCACCCAGCCTTCTGAACTTAACAATCTAGACTGCAAAAATCTGATTAACTATAAATAGAAGTTAATATTTCATGTTTTCTGTTTCCTTGCTGTCACCTAGTAGCATCCAGAGTTTTGAAGCTCAGAGCTGGTAGCCCTATACTGTAATGAGCATACACTTAGAAGAAGCCAATTTGAAGTAGGAAGCTAGCAAAGTTTATCAAAGACAATATTTGACAAGGGGAACAAAATAATGGTTGCATAAGCACCATTTCTGTAGACTGGTATGTCTTTTGATATTCTATTCTAAGAGTCATTTGCACCAAATAATTGCTTACTGATATCATTACCATTAAGATATACAATGTACAAATGACACTTGCATTCTTTATATATAGAAGGATTGTCTGTATGTTCTTCAAAGATGTATTGTTACGGTGCATCGGAGTTACTAAGCTACAAAGCTATTACAATTTGAAAAGCAAGTGCTGTAAAGTTGCTCATTTATACCTATATGTATTTTATGTGAAAAGATGTTAAATTTTATCCTTACTGAAAGCCCTATTGCATGCATTTGCATTATAAAACAGAACTTCAACTCTTGTAAACTAATGCCAGTTTCAATTTGAGAATTTTAAAAATTGGTCATTCATACAAAGCATTCATTATATAGTTTCCTACAATCAAAATCTGTAATAAACCCATGAATGGATTAAACTTTCTCTGGTTTACATTTTGGTATTTAGTATTTCTTCAAGGTCATCCAATGAATGAATTTAATAAACAGCCACTTAAATTCTCTTTCATCCAGCTAGTAGGCTTTTGAATACCATTAAGAAATAACTGTCTGAAAAGTTTGTGTGCTGTTTGCATTCCATTTTTTGCAGGCACCAAAAGCATTATTTCATATACTTACCGCAGAATCAAGCTGGCTGTTTAGAAAATTGGGTGAATAATAATGCGCCTATTCTGTTCTAACATCTAGAGTCCACTGAAATGTTACACCAACTCTGTTGTGCCTTCATTGAGCATAATTTTCCCCTTTTCCCATTTATATAGCTATGCCAATCAAGAAATATGTGCACCTATACAAAATACGGTATATGCTACTGAAGTTCAAAACTTATCTCTGATGTTCTGTACATCTTATAATCATAGATTTTTTTTATTTTTGATTCATGTAAGATACTTAAAAGCATTAATTTAAGCAATCTTAGGGAAAAATAACCTACAGAATTTCTTCCCCTATGTATCCACTAGTGGCTTCATAGAATTAGCTGCCCATAACTACTGGGAACTTAAATGTATCATTTTCTTTAGTTACAATCTTAGAATCCCATTACCACTTTTTCCTACATCTTCTTCTCTGAGTACTTTGCAACAGATCAACAGGCATTATTTAAAAGTGCTAGCAACTGCTAACAAAAAGGTGGGTAAGCAATATTCAGATAGCAAGAGGACTTAGACTTATACACCACTTCACAGTGCTTTACAGCCCTCTGTAAGCAGTTTACAGAGTCAGCATATTGCTCCCAACAATCTGGGTCCTCATTTGACCCATCCCGGAAAGATGGAAGGCTGTGTCAGCTAGATCTTATATAACTGATTTTATATGGCTATAGTAGGCACTTCACTAATTTCATTACCATTTACAAATATTTGTCATTGGAAACTTGTTACCTTGATTTACTTTCCACTAGTAGTTGCTATGAATATGGCTGAATTGTAAGTTGCTAGTACCATAAAACTTACAAATCCCTACATTTGTAATATTAAAAAATAAACCATTTAAAAGAGAGGGTCAACCTGTTATCCAAAGCATGTTAGGATATAAGAAATATTGGATGAAACCTCAAGAAGAGGACCAACCTAGAACTAAGGAGAAATTGCCTGACAGTGAGAACAATTAATCAGTGGAATGGCTTGCCTTCAGAAGTTGTGGGTGTTCCATCACTGAAAGTGTTTAAGAAGAGATGGACAGTCATTTGATAAAATCTCTTCCTTGGGCAGCGGGTTGGATTAGAACACTTTCAATGTCCCTTCCAACTCTGTTTCAAAGTTATGTTGTTTTGATTTTGAAGACATCCTGAGGCCTGACAAGTTATTGTCCCTCAACTATCTACTCTTCACATTTTTCCTCAAACCACTGTGGATACTTCTAGGATTCTAACACCTTCTGTTTTGCTATCTTACAATCTAAAGCTTCAAATTTCCTTGCCTTCTAATAGTATAACATCTGAAGTAGTCTTGTACTTTAAAACAGACTTAGTTTATGCTTGGTCAGTTCTGGTCCACATATGATCCTCAGTAATGTTTGACATTACCTGCTATCTCTTGTTATTTTATTTTATTTTATTTTATTATCCTCCTCTTAAAATGATGGAATCACAGCATTTTGTCATGCACAGTTCTTGTGCTTTTAATCCTGTTTCATAATCCAACTTTGGGGTTATAAAAAGATAATAAACTGCACAGATAAAAATTACCTGTACACAGATACCACTTCCAGCCTGTTGCCAAATGTGATTTTGGGAACAAAAGGGTTTTTCACTCTAGGATTGAAACAATGTATAAATAAGCTAGAGAACTAATCACTATTGTGACTAATTTTGGACTGAAACACCAGAGTTCTAAAACCTGTTTACCCATAGTGGTCATTTGTTGACTTTGCACCCTGGCCTTGTAAGTTTTACATTCTGAAGCCCAGCCAACATCAAACTATTCCTTAAGTTTTTAGCCTCTTATTGTGGGATTGCCCATGTATGCCCAAATCAATGCACACAGTTCTGTTGGTTGTCAAAGAAGTTTAGTTGAGAGAACATGATAGTCTGAGTTAAATATTGTTTATTTTATATTTTGTAATACCAGCATAACCCACTTTTCTTTGAAAGAAAGGTTTTGATTTGGAAGTCAGCAATATATTCTGAGACAAAAAGCACTGTATAACAAAATTAATTGAACAAAAAGGTTTCAGTCCTGTCAAAAATGTATTTAGTAAGAAATACTGTAAGGGAAAACTCTGCTATTAACTAAATGCATTATTCATCTTGGATTTCCAAAACACTTTAAAGAAATTTCAGGGTTTTGAAATTATATCAGTACATTTAAGAAACAGGAAGAAGAAAAAATGTGTATTTAGACAGAAGCCATGGGTGAGGAAATATACTGTACTTCAAGTCTACTCTTGTCATTTTTTTTTCTTGTTCTTAAACAATAGCTGCCACCATGGAATAAACTAAGCATTTAAATTTTATTTCTAAATAGGTAGACTGAGCATATGATATTTCCACAGTGCCAAAACAAGAAAGAGAAAACCATGATTTATATGTTGTTCTTTCAAAGACAGATTTTGACATTTACTGTATACTATGAATTAGGAGCTTTAAACAGAGAACTTTTTGTGTTACCAACCAAAAGCCATTTTCCCTCCTCCCTTCTGCTTCTCTCTCTTTAATGAATGATTTGTGACAAGAAAATGAATGAAGCTGAGGTGAGAAAGCAAAGAAAGTCACAAATAAAATTCTAAAAATATAATCCAGCAATCTTGTCTGGAAACATCCTTGTTGAAACTCAAGCTACCTTCTGAAAAAAATCATGAACAATATTAAAATATGTAAAATATGCTCTTTACTAACGTAGGAAACCCCAGTTATTCATGCCTAACTCCATTCATTGATATGAATTAAATTGACACAGTAAGCTATGTAGTCAACTGTTGCATTCTTAATGTTTTGAAATCTCATCCCCAATAAGCTTCATAAATATCCAGAGAAAATATATTTGCCTCCTTTAATGGATATTTAGATGAAAGTTTATGTTTGTGTAATGAAAGATGATTCACTATATATAAATGACATAAGGTTTATTTAGATGTTCATAACAGAAACTAGTAAGAAGTTGCTATTGAATCATGTACTATATATTTGTAATCATACTATTCTAATATTAGCAGGTTTACTTTGCAGAATATTCTACCATGTTTATTCCATGTTTAACTCCAAATTCCTGAATTAGAATTACTGAAATAATTACAATAATACAAAGCCAGGAAGATATCCCTCAGCTTCATCTGCTTCTGAAAAAAATGGGCATAGTAATAACCAATACACTTTAGATGACTATTGATATGATGTAAATTAAAAGTTATGGACACACCCCATTAAATTTAATGTCAGAATTAATTAATAGTAATCAAATGAGCTTAATATTGCTTAATGTATGAATCTATTTACACTTATTGGAGAAATTATGAATCTTATTAATTACTGAGCACTGGAATATTAACCAGATGGTTTTAAATTACAAATAACTTTTTAAATTAAATTATTCACTTGACTAGAAATGAATTAATGCTAAATCCCTTTTCCCTTCATCTTATTATTTTCTATGGCTTCCATCAAATAAAGTTGTACAGAAAAGAAGAAAATGAACATCTTACCTACTACCATCCTGACTCAAAAAAAATCCATTCACCATGCTTTGAAAGAAAGCCAACATTAAGAATGCTACTGTCTCCATGCTACTGTCTCCATTTTTACATTGAACTTTTTGATTCACATCCTCCTTCAAAATACTAAAACTTGTCTGTACTGTATCCAGTGAGAACAGAAAAAAATAAGCTGAAAACAAATTTATCTAGGGACCCAACACTGATCCTTCAAAAAAAATGATCTTTTTAGTAAAATAAATCAAGTATTAGAGTACTGCGTTTGTTGAGATGCCTATTATGTTTGAACATATTTACATTCATTGTTTAACCTGGGTTATAAATAAAGACATTATTTCTGAATGTGTTCAGTAAATTATTATGGAATTGGACATATAAGTCCCAGTAAATGAAAAAAAAATTAATCCCAGTTCCACTAGTATTTGTGAAAGCATGTAGACTAGTAAAGGATTATACCATACGCCTGGAGAATTTTAAATACTGAAAGAAACTAAGGAAAACTGTAACTTTAGAGTTAAGAGTCATCACCAACCAATGACTTAAATGTAATAACAGGGCTTCCTGAAGGAGGAAGAAAACTACTCAAATCCAGCAGCCTTTGTTAAATCCTGAATGTCAGTAATTAATGAGTTTAGATTAATTTAGACAGATGGCTCCAGGGATGGATATTTGCCATTTGTCTGGTGAAAATCTCACCCTCACGCCTGCCTGGGACTCAATCTACATACACAACCTGGAATTGAAGATGAGGGGAAGGGGACGGGGCCCTTCTGATTTTGAACCTGGTTACACAGAAGTAACTTCCAGTGAATTTCAGAGAACCGGATTCCCAACGAGAGCAAATAATAAGCTGAAGCCCCACCACCACCACCACCCTCCAGCCGGAATTGGCCAAATTCCAGAATGCACTGACTTCTGCGTGGTTTTAAAATCTCGGTTACCTTAACTGTTATAACGGGTTTTTTTTTTTAAGTGAAGAGAGTTTTAGCGGGCAAGGTCTCTCGGCCCCATCCGCCCTCCTGGGTTTGGGGCAGATTTGCTCCCAACTGGATTCTTCTTGATCGCAACCCGGACCTAAGAGCCAGGAGTTTCCTCACGGTTATAATATTTCCAGCTTTCAGGGAGTCCGGTGTCAGGATTCGCGATTCCGGGGGAGGGGGAGGCACAACGGGAAGGGGGGGCAGGGGAAGCGTCTGAGGCGGCGGCAGGGGGGGGAGATTTACACCTACGCCATTCACCTTTTCCGCAACTGATCTCCTTCTCCCAGTTTGCAACAACCTTTAGCCAGAGGGAGGGGGGAGGAGAGGAGGAAGGAAAGGAGGGGGAGAGGGGTTGGTCGACGCGAGTGCCGGCAAGAGCGCGTTCAAGTCTCAGTCAGAAGGCGGGCGCGGGGAAGCGGTACTCACTGTGAAACAAGCTGCGTCCATGGATCATGTCTGTTCCTTACACAAGGGGCTTCGCTCTCCACTAATTCCATCTAGAGACGGGAGGGCTTCCACGGTGGAGAGCCGAGCACACGCTCAACCCAGAAGCTCGACGTCCCCCTCTGCACTCGCTCTGGCCCCGCCGTTTGGCAAGGAGCGACCATTTCCACCGCTCGGGCTCCTGAGCAGCCAGCCTCGGGGAGCTAGTAGCGTCCGTCGCCGCAGCCGCCGGGCGTCTGCATAACCCGGCCAAGAAAGGCGAGGGAGGAAGAAGAGACGCAAAAAAGCTCGACTCCGGGCGACGGCAAACGGCCGCCAACAGGGAGCTCCCAGGCTCCGGCGCGGAAGGGAGGCGGGCTTCTCTCCCCGCGCTTTAATCGCCAGTTTCCCACACAGCAACCAGTATTTGGGAGAGAATGCGGAGGCCGAGCTCGTCCGGCCTTTTAGAGTTATGACGGCGCCCAGAAGGGAAGAAGCCGGCTGGGCCTGTCATCAGTTCCCGGGTGGGACGAGGTGGGGAGAGGCCCCCAAAGTGGGAAGAAAGGGGCTTCTCCGGCGGGGATTGGCGAGGGGGAGAGAACAAGGGCAGGGGAAGAGGGCAAAAAATGGGCTCACCCAGTAGGGGATTTAGTCATCTTTGGGGAAGGGGCCGCCGCGTAATCCTTATGATTAAAAGTGAAGCCCTTTAAAGTCAGCTAAGCTCATGTCGCCCGCCTCGTGGCAGTACATCAAGCCGAAGTAAAGTGCGTCTCCTCCGGCTGGGGTAGTAGGATCAGGAAGAGACAGAGAAAGAGAGAGAGAAAAGAGAGAGAAAGAAATCACAATTCGGCCCAGAAGCGATTTAACCCGGGAGAATCTCTCAAGTAGCGATAGGGAGCGAAACCTCCGGAGGGCCGCGTAGTCTTGGAGGTGCCGCCGCCTGCCCAGCGCCCTTCAGCGTCTGCCCCAAGTAAGAGATGGCGTCTTTTCCACCCTCGCCCTCCTTATGGCGTGGCCAACCCGCGAAGGATCTTGCCTCTGCGCGCTGCAGTCTTTCTGGGTCCGAGAGCAAGAGTGAGGCGGACTGGGAGACGCCGCAATAAAAGTTTGGTGTCAGGCCGGCGGCCGCGAAAAATCTCTTTCCCTCCGTCCGGAGGTAGCAGGGGAATATACCCTCGTCCTCCGGCCCCCTCTTCTGCTCGACGTAGATAACCTTTTTTTTTCCCTTTCTTCCACCCTCAAGGCACCCTCCGAGGCTGGGCTGCGAAGAAAGGGAGAGAGAGATCGCAAGGAGAAAGGGAGGCAGAGCCGGGATGGCGATCCGGAGCGCAGCAGCGGGAAAGAGGCGGATTCTCCTGAAACGGATTCAACCCTCCTCTCTCTCTCTCTCTCTCTCTCTCTCTTTTTAACTCGGTCGCTTCTGCGCTCAATCGTCCGCCGCGCCCCCCCTCCCCACCGCCGCCGCGCCAAAAGAACAAAAGTCCGCAATAGCGGATGCTTTTTCACGCACAGGGATTTCCCAGCCTGCAGCCGCCGCCGCCGCTTCTTCTCTCGCGCGCTGTCAGTGGCATCCACGCAAAAAGAAGAGCCGCGTGGGGAGGGAAGAGGGGGAGAGGCAGAGGAGGGGGCGGGGTGGGCGAGGAGAAATAGCCGCTGAATAAGGCAGGGCTGGGAAGGGGGTGGGGTGGGGGGAGAAATCTAATCGTAGCTCCTGAGAGTGATGTTGACGATCTTCCCCACCTGCTGCTTTGCGAAGGTGATGCCGGAAGGAAAAGAGTAATATATACAAGCTGAAACAGGAAAATAAAGTCCAGTTGCGCACCGCCCCTTCATTAAAGCTGAATCTATAAGGGGTTTTTTTTGTTTTGCTTTTTTTAAAAAAATCCAGTTGGAAAATTACCGAACCTTTTGCAGCGTTCCCCACGAAGCAACTATTTGCTTTTCATTGAGAAGCTCTGCGGCGTTAAGTATTTAGGTGACAGCCCGTCAGAAAAGCGCCAAGGCGGCTAGAAAAATGGGAAAACAAAAGCATCCTGGAAGAAGAAATCCTAAATGACTTCAGTATTTGTTGCGAAGAAAATACATCACTCGGAGTCGAGCTGGACAAAAAGAAGAGGAGGAGGCGACTGTGGTTTAGTCCCACCAGTTACGGCGGAGATTCCCAAGTAAGCCAAAAGTCAGCCGCCTTGGCAGTGATACGCGAAGCTTCATCCAAATGATCATTTTCGCTGTGGTCCAAAAATAATGTCACGACGGATCCCATGCAGCACCTTGCAGGAGCGTTTTCTTTAAAAAAAAAAGAGGGGGGGGAGGGGTCTTTGAGAAACAGGAAGTCACAAACGGTAAAAGCCACTTCTCCAAACCAGGAGCCCGGCAGCTGCGACCCGGGGAGAGGAGGAACAGATTTCTTGGAATTGAGTTAAGGGGAACGCAAAACGATGCATTGTGTATAAGATCTCGCTTCTTGGCCGGGCTTTGTGAGCCTTTGCAAAAACGTCCAATCAGAGCTAACTCGACGACGTGAAATTCGTGAGTCTTAGGACAGGTAGCCCCATTGACTTGGAATTCCCGGTCCCAGATCCTCTTGTTTGCAATGTTCCGGTCACTGCCAAAGTTAAGCTTGCAGCCCGTGCTGACAGCCTAGCCGCCTCAAATGGATTGGAGTTTTTAGCTCCCGCTGGGCTCCCAAATCCTTTTCTTCTAAAGGAAAGCGAGCCGCCTAATCTGCTTTTCGCTTCTGATGAGACACAGGGCTTGTGGCTATTTCTAAACACAAAGGCGAGAAGCCTCCACCGGCGATGTTCTTATTGGGAGCTGGGACTAATATTCACGCCTCCAGTGGAATTACCCAATGCGTTAACGGAAGGCAGGCGCTTAGTCATAGCGATTGTACGATCCACGCTCTGCGCAATGATGCCCAAGCAGGTACAAGAAGAGATCAGAGCTTCCTTCTCGTGTCGGCTTGGAGAGGACTCCTTTTTCTTTAACTTATGTTTTTGCCTGGATTCTCTGCAACCAAATGACTCTTTTCTCAAGACCCCACCTTTTCAAGGTACTTTCATTTTGTGTCTGCGGGTTGCCCTTGGGAGGGTGTTTTCTCCCAAATTCAAGCCCCACATGTAGTTCCACCATCTTCTACAAATGTAATCACGTCAAAATTTCTCTCCCCCCCCCCCCATTCTTCAACCGCTGGAGCAAAAGATGAGATTTTTTTCTGAAAATTTCCTGCAAGAGAGTGCAGGTAATCACTGCACTGTGGGTAGGGCCGTTTTTTGGAGTGATGGTTTCTTTGGAAAGAACTATTGTACAACTTTCTTTTAAGTGTAGTAGAAGAAAAGAAACTAAAGATTGTGTTGATTCTCTCTTCCATTGGGTATGAAGAGCTGAAAATAAAGGCAACTAAGTTGGGGAATGGTTCACAAGCAGAAAGGGATCTGGAAAGGTACAAGTCCATATCCCTATTTCTTGAAAAGGTAGCCTTCAGTGAGTCACTTTTCCTCTCCTTGCCTAGATTCCCAAGCTATTGAGTTCACAACTTTGCTATGTTTACATTTACAAATATTCACTATGACTTGCTGAAATATTCACGGGATCACACCCACTGAGCATAGACTTAATAGGATTACTTGGTTGGTACTTGGATGAGCATTTACAAGCTGTAGATTAGGCTAGGAAGATGAAAATTGTTCTGAAAGAAAGCCATTGCAAATCTATTATAGAGTATGCCAAGAATATCATTTAACTGTATCAGTGAAGTCAATGCTGGATTTAAACAAAAGCTAAGCAAACTACAGCTTCAGGGCTTCTCTGGTCTAGATTATACTGTATTTGTAGTGAAGGCATCAGGAACCTAAATATTTCTAAAGAGCATCCAGCCTCTATTTCTTTAAATACCTTGGGAGAAGTTAAAGGCTACACCAGCGACTCCTCTTAGTCTGTGGGCATTATTGATTTGCAGGGTGGGAGTAAACCTGCATTAGGTTTAGGCTATTTAGTTTCAATAACATCACTATGATGTTATGAATAATCCTGTTTGCTTCCTGGTAGGGTTTTTCTGGGGAAAAGTCAGAAATTCAAATTGATGGCAATAATCTTGAGCAAAACTACCACCTAGCTGACTTTTTTTTTTCACCCCACTATGGGCAACTCTGCCTCAAGGATTAATAACATTGTTAATACAAGGTTAATTGTGAATTGAGAGCCAGTTTGATGTCGTAGTTAAGGTATCAGGCTAGAAACCAGGAGATCATGAGTTCTAGTTCCTTCTTAGACACAAAGCCAGCTGAGTGACCCTGTGCCAGTCACCCTCTCAGCCGTGAGAAGGAGGCAATGGCAAACCACTTTGTCAAAAAATCTGCAGGGATTTTGTCCAGGCAGACACCAGTAGTCAAAAAGTGAGTCAAAGGTGCCCCCTCCCCAAAAAACCCAAAAGAAAAATGTCATACAAATACCTCTGCCTGCACCTCTGTGAGTGCCAAGCAAGGCTGCAGAGCCATGTTTTTATGCCCTTCCAGAAAGCCAGTTAGAGTGGGGACCTGCCTCACCTCTGGGGCACCTCTGGGCACAGAAGGCTTTCTTCCTGAATTACTTTCCCTTGTTGTAATTTTAGATAGCATACTGAATATAATTTTTAACATAGGCTACATCTCATGTATAAGATACTACTGGTAATTAAGCTATTTTATAAAGATATTTTAATTCTGAATTGAATTGAATTCCAGTCAGACTTCTTTAAATAATGGGGCCCACAACACATTTTCCTTGCCTGACTTGTTGGGCAGGGATGGACCAATGTAATGGATGGTTTGGACCCCATGTCAGGTAGAGCTTTAAAGGTCAAAGCCAACACTTTGGATTGAACCCAGAAGCAGACTGGCACCCAGTGCAGCTCATGTGTTGGGTGTCAGCCCTGGAAGCCATCTTTCACTTGGGATCTTTGGGGCTGCCACATTTAGTGCTGTGGGAAAACGGCAGGGGGGTTAGATGGAACTGGAGTGAGATATATAGCCATAACAACATTCTTTTCTCTGG